AAGGAGAACCTGGTGGCAGAGGTTTAGGGGTAAGATGAATACTTTTTATTCCAAAAGAATTCCACACATATTTTCTTCATTAGCAATGTCATTTAAATAAGTGTTTTCTTGCTTCATAGATCACACTGCTTAAGTTATGACACTTTTTAACAAAAGTACATATATATCACCTATCCAGTCTTATTTCCTATACAAGCAGCACTCTTTAGAATAAGCATTTTGCATCTAAAGGCCATATCTTCATGTGAAGTTTTTAAAAATAATATGTGCTTTTTAAAAATAATAAGTTTTAAAAAATAATATGACCCTTTTACATCAATCCAGGGGAACAATATTTTTCAGTTTGCAGGTATAATTGGCATTCACTTGCTCAGGTGCTAGTTTCACTTCCATTTCATCAGGTACATGATGTGTGAAAAAAAGAAAAAAAACATGCTACCACCTCTGACCTCACTCAACATTTTTTTTTTTTTACTATGAAGACATGACCCTGTTGTGGGTGGGCTAATATTATCCTAAGAATATGGAGAATATGGCATGATCATCAAGAATGTTCTTTTGTAATTGGGACCACTCTTTCTAGACAAAAGGGTATATCCTGTTTCTTGTTTTTACTTTTCTCCTCCCATCCCTCCCCCCTCCTCTGCTCTCCTGTTGCTCCTATATATTTCCTTTTAGCATCAGTTTCTTAGATTGTGTATTTTAAAATCTTTAGGGTGAGCAACATGCTGTGGTTGACAACCTCAAATTATTAAAGAAGTTTTCATCCTCTAAAGATCTAAAAATTAGTGACATTTTCACTTTGCTTAACATTCTTTCTAGTGTGGCGATTGATGGTTTGAGGTTGGTAAGTGTTGAGGCAACTCATGGGCTCTGGATCCCTGAGTGTTTTCTAGCACTCTGATCAGTTTGAAGACCAAACTTTTGTTGGAGCTAAGTTGAAAATAGTATTGTATAGTTTAGCTTTATAGTTATAGACAGAACTCAAAGGAGGGTCGGACAAAATCAAGTTCGATTTCTTTGTTTTACAGATGAGGAAACAGTGATTCTCCAAGCCATACAACTTTCTATTAGAATAAAACTTGTTGATTTAAATATATATATGACATATCTCATAAGAAAGTAACCCTCCAAAAAAATCATCTTGCTCTTTTTGTCCCTTATCCATGTTTGTTTCTTAATCAGTGTTTTTAAACTGTTATGGTTTAGTTAAGAGGTGTTCCCCAAAAGCTCATTGTGTGAGACAATGCAAGAAAGCTTAGATGTGAATAGATTGGGTTATGAGAGCATTAACCTAATTGTTGCATTAATCCTCTAATATAGATTAACTGGGTGGTAAATACAGGCAGGTAGGGTGTGGCTGTAGGAGGTGGGTCATTTGGAGTGTGTCTTTGGAGTATATCTTTTATCCTTGGTGAGAGGAATCTCTTTCTCTGCTTCCTGGTTTCATGTCCTGAGCCACTTTTTCTCCACCACACTCTTCTGTCATGATGTTCTGCCTCACTTAGGGCCCAGAGCAGTGGAGCTAGCCATCTATGGACTGAGACCTCTGAAACTGTGAGCCCCAGAATAAACTTTTCCTCCTGTAAAATTGTTCTTGTCAGGTCTTTTGGGTATAGCAGCAGAAAAAAAAAAATGACTAAAACGTGAACAAATCACCTTGCCTGGTTTGCTAAGAAGAACTTGGAAATGGGAGAATTAGATGGTCCTCATGAGAGTTGGGATATTAGCAAGGAGTAGCCTCCTTCACTGCTTTAAAGCATTCTTGAGATATTGAAGTTACCTTCCATGAGTGTTGAAACTGTATTAATACGATTGTATTAATAGGCACATGGAGTCATATGCTCATGCTATAGCATTGGCCAGTGACATTACCCTATCTAGAGAGAGAAAAGGATTTCGATGGGAGACTTTGGACTATAAAAACAAAACAGAGGCAGGAACACCAGTATAGATATGGGCAGGGGAGAGGAAGTCTTCGAAAGGTGTTAAGAACCTATTCTGACTTCTCTGATGTTTTACCTACTTATTCCAAGTCTCCCATCCGATTTCCAAACGGTAGAGTGCACATTCATTTGACATTGCTTTGTCCCAGGGTGACAATCTTATTCACTCTGATGAATTCCTAGATTTATCATTCTACTCCAGATCTGTTTTCTGACTCGAATCTCTCCCGGTCTCTAATCTATCTCTTGATCAACCTAAATTTCCAACTGAATGTCACAAAATTGTTGAAAGCATAACATATCTAAAATTGTATTCTTGATTTCTTCTTTATATTCTCCTCTAGATTTCCTCAGCTCAGAAAGTGGCACCCCAACTTCCTGGTTGCTCAACTCTGAATTTTGTTGTCATCCTTGAAACTTTCCTCTTCCTATCCTTTCAACCCATTACCAAATTATATTTTTACCACCAAAATATTTGTTGAGGTCAACAACTGAGCTTCATCTTCCTTACTGTAACCTTGGTCTGTACCATGTAGTAAGGGACTACTAAAAACAATTACAGGTTTGGGCATTTATCTCAGAGGTGGAAAGCTTGTCTAGCATGTGCAAGATCCTGAGTTGATCCCCAGTACACACATACATTCTTCCATAAATAAATAATAAGTGTTGCATGGTGCCACCTCTCTGCCAAAAACACGTGAATGACCCAGCTTCTTTTTTCATCTTCAGTTAGTACCTTCCTCCCAATGGCTGCCTCCCTCCTATGGGTGCCTCTGATCCTTTGCATGTTATTCTACTTTGAATTCTTTGCCTTCCTCAGCTCTTCTCTTTCCCACGTCTCCAAATTTCTACTAAAATTCCCTAGTCTAATTTTAGATGTCAGCTCCTACAGAATCTGATTTAGGACTCCCTTGATAGTCTTTTGTATAATATACTATTTTTTTTCCCAAAACACCAAATTTATAATTATAAACTCATTTGTGTGATGATTTATATCTTCCTAGCATAACTATTTTGTTCACTCCTATGTACCCAGCTTCTAGAAGTTTCCAGCATGTAATAGACACAGCCAATATTTGTTGAATGACAATGAATGAGCTATGTTAGCTGAATGTTGGGACCTTTTACCTCCCTTGGGACCGCGGCCATTATTGGGTGTTGGCTGAGGCGGCCTCATGGGTTAGCATTTCCGTATATGTGACCTGGCTGGATTGGCGTTTTTTGGGCTTTTGACTTTAGCCCCGCCTAATGGTTCAATCTGAAATCTGCCTAGGCCCCTTAGTGATAGTGACGTAACTGCCCCTTATTGGTTCTCACTACTGTCTCTTCTTAGTCCCTCCTATCACCATATAACCTTGTCCCTGACACAGTAAATTTGAGATTATTGCACCTTCACGGTTGACTCATCTCCCGACTCGGTGTGATTGTGGGCCAGGTTGGATGGCGGGCAGGGTCGAGACACTTCACCCTCTCGCTCAGCACTGGAAACACTAGCTGGTCTAGTGCGCTCCACTACCTCTGTTGGAGGGCGGTTCGGACAGTTGGTGCCTCCGAGATGATAGGCTGGTCTCCCACGTACCCTTGTTGGGGTGGGGGGGGGGAAGCTGAAGAGATTATTATAAAATAATCTATATTTCTTTCTTCTTTCTACTCTATTCTAGCCTAATTACCTTTTGATTATGGTTTGTCTTCCTTATATCTTGATCACTGGGAGTGAATGCCGATTGGACTGATTAGACTTATTTAGGTGAGAGATGTTTCTTCAAGACGTTGCTAAGGTTCAAGTGCATTTTATTTCATATGCATTTTTCTCTAAGGTCCTGAGAACAGTGAACTGTACTCCCAGACTTGAGATCAGGTCCTGAGCTCCATTAATTCACTAGTAAATATTACCCATGAGGCTTTATTGGAAACAGTCTTGCAGATATTTCCCCTCAGTAACTCTGGAATAATTACTTTAAGTTTATCTTTCATTTTGGAATGTCTGTTCTGAGGTACATAAAAAGTATTGCCAAAATTTGTCCAGTTACTAAAGATAGAAGTTACTGAATATAGAGTTGTTATCATCTGTGTGTGTCACTTAGGAGTTTAACCAGGCTACGCTAATCTTAGGTTAGATTTGTAAGCCTTTCAATCAGGTCCTTTCCTGCAACCAGATTTTATTAGTTTGGCAAATTCTATTGACAGTATGATAATGGGCCTAGTACCAACTGGATAAAACTACTACAGAACTGAAAGAATTCTTACTATGAAATGTTAGCAAAAAACTCATAGTCTTTCCACATGCCATCTTTCTGACTATGCTGTTAGAAAAATATTGTTTCCATAATTCTCATCATAATGCTACAAAGCACAGTTATGAGTTATCTTACAGAAAAGGAAAGCGTAGCAGAGAAAGATTTCATAGCACAGTCAGTGTCTGAACTGAGGCATGAAACTGAGTCTGCTTCACTCCATCTCCCAAACGCTTCACCACTACATGAAATTGCCTCTTCCTGACTTGATCAGGTACCAACTATTTGGTATGGAATCAACTGGTTTATTTGGAAACAAAAAATTCCTACCCTTTGATTTATGTCATGAGAAAAAATACTACTGGATCATTAAAATTCATGTTTGGATATTGTTGATGAATTTATTCAATAAAAGATTTCTTTACTATATTCTATCCACCAGCTATTTTATAGTATCTAAGGAATGCAGATAAAGGATACACAGCCTTTTCCCTCAGGAAACTTGCAGTCTCACGGGAAATAGAAAAATATCCAGACACATATAATACAACATGATTAATGCTGTAACATAAAGCTGGATTCTAAGGAATCAAAGAGGGGTGCTACAGAAATGTGATGTGAACTGACCCTTGAAGGCCAGGGATTTGCTAAGTAGACTCACAGGAAGAGAGGAAGAAAAGGCTAGTTTTCTGGGCAGAGGAAACCATGTGTGTAGGTCTGGGAAGCCTCTAGAACCTCAGCGTTTTGAGTACATTGGTTACAAAGGGAAGGAAAAAGGCTGCATTTCAAGGACTCAAGCAGAAGAGATCATAGCAAAGGATCAGATTATATCCAATCTTTATTCTACTCAGAGTTCTTTGGAGCAGGAACAGAAACCAAGTCAAACTAGCTACAGTAATGACATTTGACCTTTTAGACTCAGGTGTCTACTACCATAAGACTGCAATCTGTCTTTCAGGATCTCAAGAGAATCTGATCAGTGACTGGCTGACCCCCTGAGTCAGGTGTCTATGCCTCTTCTATGCCTCTTCTGATTGTTAGGATGACCCAGGAAAACAAGGCAGGGAGAGAGAGAGAGAGAGAGAGAGAGAGAGAGAGAGAGAGAGAGAGAGAGAGAGAGAGGGAGAGGGAGGAAGGAGAGAGAGAGAGAGAAAGAGAGAGAGAGAGAGAGAGAGAGAGAGGGAGAGGGAGGAAGGAGAGAGAGAGAGACTGCACTGGATTTCTCCAAGGCTGGGGTCCCATGGTAGCGAATGTCCTCCCAGGAACAATGGACAGGCAGGTTTCCCTAGGAAGGGAAATGAAAGGGGATGAAGTCCATCTAGCACAACACTGTGGGTCATGGAAAAACAGCTGAAATTTTTAGTGAGCATTTACAGAAAGCAAGAAAAAAATCTGTTATTAAAGTCACAGTTATCATTTTAACATTTAAGGCAGCTCCCACACATGATTCCAAAGTATACCATCTATAAGGCTGAAATAATCAGAATATTTTTGCATTGTTAATGATTTTGAATTACTTTATAAAAAAGTATGTATAGCAATAATTTTACACATAAAATACTCGACATCTTATCCTTAACTCTGACAGGGAAAGCTGACTGCACCAGGGGAGCCACTAGACAAAAGGAGATTGAGTCTCTGAATGACCACGAAACACGGGACACCCCACTCTAGTTCACATGGACAGTGCTGGAAATGGAAAATTTAAGCTTATGTTATAAGACAGCTAAGAGCTGGAGTTACTTTGCTAAAGCAACTGTGATTGCTTACTCAGGCCTCAACATGGCACTCCCCAGCTCTGCACAGGATAGAATCTATCCAGTCTGAAAGTCTGGGTTTCTATGCAACAGTATGGAAAAGGGGTCTTATTGACTTGTTTACAGTATAGTGCTGTTATGTAAGCAAGAACTGAGTTTCTGTTACAGTTATATAACAATACATTTTGGGTTCACTGTTGAAACTGTTAGCCTATCTTCAATAGCATCTGGCTAGTGAGAATCTATCATATACCGTCTTTTGTATTTATTAAACACTATCTTTTATTTTATGTCTGTCCTAGGATTAACAAAGGAATGAAAAAGATGCATTTTAAATCTCACAAGGGATGTTAAAAAAAAGTTTAAAATGAATTTTCAAAAATTTATATATAAACATTTAATTAATGAAGTTTTTCACCAATGCTCTCAAATTCTGTTTATAAAAAAGCTTGAAGGATTGTCTGCAGGATAAAAAATCAGTGTAAGTGATAGAAATTGTCATATTCACTGATATGTTATAGTTTCCTGTTTTACTAACTTTTCCTAATTTAACATTTCATAAAATGTATAGATTCTTATTTTCAGTGGATGACAGTTCCATTTACATAAACTTATTGCTAAATAGATTATAAAATCTTATAAAAAGTAATTTTAAAATTCACAAAATAGTTAACAGAAAGGACCCAAATGAAAAACATAACACAATTTAGTGAAATATGCACAGGGAATTAGGGAATAAAGCAGAATATCAATGTTTCACAAATCAGTGTAAAAGACTATTCTCTTCAATCATCTCTCATGATGCCTTTTATAAGTTATCTTCTTGATTTTGTAAGTCATCTTCTTAAATTTCTTCCTCCAAATATAAGTCTTTCATCATAGATAATGTTCTAAATACTGAAAATATTTGTAGTTGGGAATAAATGCAAATGACAAAGATTACCTTAGAATCTATCTTTTAAATTGTGGAGCAGAGAAACAAATATACAGAAACACACCAGAGTATGGAAAAAAAGCATATGCTTCAATTTTCAATTCAAAATATAGTTTTCAAAGTTAGGCTTTTTGTATTGTGCAGTGCAGAAAAAATATTGAAGTTATGAATGTTGGCTATTTTTCAGGGTCTGAAAATTAATGTTTATGTGAAACAAGTACATCATAATAATGAATTACATTATAGAACTGGAACATAACCTCAAACTTTAATGGTTTGTTGATATGTGGAAAATGTGAAACTAATAAAAACAACATTTTCTTTTATTTAATGAGTAATTCAATTGTTCTTTAAACATTGCTTAAGCATTTTGACTGACTATTATTTCCTTCATAGTATTTTCCTCTTTGAAAAACTTATGGCTTCATTTTTAGATCTTCCATGTTTTTTTCTACATGCTTTAAAAATCCATTATTACTTATTAGCAATATAAATAGTTTTGTGCTTTTCCATTACACCAATGTCATGTTCTAGCTGTTTCATTTCTTTTTCCAGCTTCTGTTTGCGAATCTTCTTCGGTATGGAGTCTATGAAGACTGAGAGGGACTGGAACTCTTTGTGCACCTCTTCCCAGTTCTTTTTCAGCCCCTGCAAATGATACACAGAACTGAAGACTGAAGAAAATTGCAAAAGTAAGTAAATGGTAAAGAAACTATACTGATAACAAAAATTGTAAACAGGTAAAAGATACTGATGAAAATAACTTTTAAAATGATACATGTTTACCAATGACTTGGCCACAGTAATGAAAAATCTTGTACAGAGGCCAAATTCTGTCCTTGATTGTCTGCTCAATCCCCACTGGGAGTATTTATTTGTGTTGTTTTTAATGTTACTGTACTTGTTTTTAATATCAAATACCCATATGCAAGGTTATGAGTGCTATGGTACTAAGCTAACAGCAAACGTTTTGGTAAAAACCAACAACCGAGAATTGATACTTCCAAGTGAAGGACATTTTTGAACAGGAAATTATTTCTTATGAAATTTTTACTTTTTCTATTCATAATTTTTTCCTTTTTTATCCTCTTTTTATTTCTCTTCAATGGAGAAATCATACCAAAAGGCTTGATTCTGACTTGCATGGCCATATTTTCTTATATTTGACAAAATGGGATTGTAAAAATGCCAAAAATCAATTTTGCAAAAGATGATCATTTATATATCTTTTCAATATATTAGAAAGAACAAATCGTCCTCCTCATAGCCAAGGGATCTATACTTCCCATTAATGTATTCTAGAAATGATTGGAATGTCATTAAATGTATCCCATATGCTAATTCAATAACATAGTTAATGTTTTATCATCTCAGAAATCAACAAATTCAAAATTAGGGGTCTCTTAGGAGTGATAAAGGTTATTTCCATCTCTGCCTGGTTATCATTTCTTATCACAGTGCACTAGGGGGCTCCACTGACAAAATGATCTTAAACTTCTGAGTTCAATTCAATGAATTAACTCTTAATCATTCATTATGGGCACAGATCGTTTTATTGACATGAGAGAAAAACCCTAAAACAGACAGTGTTATTTAAAAAATTGCCTGGAAAACATGATCCTTGAAAAAAAATGGCCATATCTTTAGGTTTAAAAGAGGATTAGAGGTATCATATAATAAAGCTTCATAACAAGCCTTCATAGTACAAATTCAAATGTGTGGAAAGTTTTCTGGGATGATAAAAGTTCAATGATATAGTCCCCTGCTTAGGTAAAAATGGTGATAGGATAGGGTACACTGTATGGAATAGATTTGTTGGGGAAAAGCACAACAACAGTCTTTTGCCCCTAAGTGAGATTATATTACAGACATGGGCAAAGGAAAGAGAGAGGAAAATACCCAGGTTAAATTCTAAAAAGAGGGAAATAGGTTGACACAGTTCTCAATAGGGCATAAGATATATTCCAAAAAGAAGTCTTCAAAAGAACTCTATTTCTTCATGGTCTTTCATTATGAAATGTGAAATAAGTTCCCACAGTGCTCCACAGGGGTGCCTATTGCAGAGAGAAATCTATATATGTATGCACTTTCAAATATCAAAGGTTTTTCACAGCCAGTTGGTGATATTTCCATATTACTTGTGGTCACAGCAGCTATACTTTTTCTCTGGATTTTCTTTTAGAGGACAGTTTGCTTTTATCTTCTAATGTATACAACAGTGTTTGGATCAAAGTCAACATATAGAGATGGAAACTAAATAGAACTAACATGTCATATTATATTGCAGTAGCCTCCTTGCTGCTTTTAAGATGCCTCCACTTTTTGTTGTTATTTTATCTTAAAAAAAGTCTTTTATCCATTGCAACAATAGTGCCCCCTCCACTCCTCTTGGGGATCAAACCCAAGGCCCACTGCATGCTGGGCAAGCGCTCTATACTGAGCCACAGTTCCAGCCTTTTCAATTATTTTCCATTATTTTTACTTCTTAATTTTTCCCTTTTCTGTTTTAAAGCTAAAATAACATTGTTAATTTTGAAAAACAAAAATAGGACAATTGAGTACCTACCGTTTCATGTTTTGTATTCACCATACCCTCAAACATTCTCCATCTTCTTGCCTGCTCACTGACAAGGGGTGGAGGGCAGGAGTTAATTCCTATGGGCTGTCCCCTGGTTCTTGTGCCCCTTGGCTTTTGACTGAGTTCAGCCAAAGCAAGCACTGGTGGAAAAGGAGAGAGGCTGGGTATTCTTCCCCATCCTCCTCAGCACTGCCTAGCTGCACTGTGACTGTGATGGGCGGCCCCTCTTCAGGCTCCAGATTTTACTAGGCCCTGATAACCCTATTACCTGTCCCTGCCCTTCAAGCCCAGGTGGTGGTAGACTCCCTTTGTTCTTAGTCGTGGGCATCCTCAGTGTCTCTTGTTGGCTTCTTTAATCCTATTTCACTTCTGTAAGAAGTTCCTTCTTAAATTCTCTTGAACTCTAGCTGAACATGCTTTCTATTTCCTGCTGGAGCCCTGACTGATAAAGCTACCCTTGGGTACCTCCTATACCTCTCATGGAATTTGCCATCTGAGGTGAGAGAAAGACACCAAATGCAGTCAGCCCACAATAATGAGGGTTCTGCATCCATGAGTTAATAGGAAAGATAAAATAATTGGTTTAGGTATAGTTTCAATTATTCTAGAGCTCCATCTAGTGAAAAATATCGAATTTATGGACATTTTTTAAATATAAATTCAGGGACATAAGAATGAAAATAAAAATACTTTTTACCTTATTTATACATGTTTCTTGTATTAGAAGGTAGGCTTCCTTACAATGCAAGCTCACCAAGTTGGCAACAAAATATTATTCCATGGGTACCTACATTAAAACTTTTTGCTCTGCTAGAGAGTCAGCTTTGCTGCAAGGAGTTTGTCACTGCAACCAAAAGAGATTGTTCTGACATGAAAGTCAAAGTCAAAATTAAGTTGAGGGCAGACTGGAAGGCCTTTCAGAGATGTTCCAAAGAGTGACACACCAGTATAAATCACAGAACACTGACCTGGAGAACGGCTTCCCTCTCTTCATCAGAGAGCCTTTTCATAGCTGCTTTCTTAAGGTTTTCCTGGATATAATTGTCATATTCTTCTTGGGCTTTTTTTACTTCCTCATTTCGTTTACATATGTATTCAGGTGTGATCCCATAATCCTGTAAGGATTTTTCAAGAAAAAAATTACTAAAATTCTGAATGTGATCTTACATATGTTTATAAAGCAACCAATGACTAGAGAAATAAAGTTTACAGACTTTGCTCCACATGACAAAATTCAGTGACTTCCCATAGAGAACTAGTTGATTCTAGTCTTTCAAAACTGAGTTTTATTTGTTTTCTCTCTTTTGAATGTTCCCAGTGCCTGTTCTCATGACTCCATTCTTTACCCCTAAGAGTTGGCTTTTCTTTTCTATGTTATGTGCTTTAGCTTTTACCTTGAAATCTCTTGAGTACCTTTGAGGTCTCTTTTTCATGATCCTGTTAAATAAAAGAAGATTAATGTGCCCAAGACATTAGAAAAGCAAAGTCCTTGAATCATGTGAAGCCTCTCAAAGAGAAAATTGACTGAAGTTGTTTTTGGAAAGGCAAAATACATTTTTAGGCTCCTGGGCTATTTAGAAGGATTGATAGTGAAGACATCAGCTGTGATTCTTTCAGATTAGTGCAAGCATTGATTTCATTGTCTATAGAAACAGAACTATTCCATATTCATTCTTCAAAAAGTATTTGAGAAATGTACTTGGTGAAAGGTATAATAGTGAATAAGAAAGGCAAAGTTTCTGCTCTCATGGCATTTGCACTGTGGTGAAAGAGATTCACCAAAAACAGACTGTTGTTAGTCCTTCATAACTGAAGGTTCTGCATCCATGGATTCAACCAACCATGGATGGAAAATATTTTTGAAAAAGCGTGTACAGACTCTTTTCATGTCATTCCCCAAACAATACAGTGTAACAACTATTTATATAGCATTTACATCTGTTTTGTATTTATAAGTAATTGAGAGATGATTTAAAGCACAGAAGGACATACATAGTTTGTATGCAAACACTAACTGTTTATGTAAGCAGCTTGAGAACCTGCAGATTTTGGTATCCACAGGGTCTCTGGTGGATATCCCCTGTGGATACCAAGAAAGGACTGTATGAAATAAAATAAAGTAAAATAAAGGCTAAAAAGGGTAAAGAAAATAACAGAGGTCATTTCAGATAAATAAGGTTGTCAGGGGAGACCCTCTGCGGGAGCAGCAACTGAGAAGTATGGTAGTCACTGAAGTTATTCACAGTGTTCTGGTTCTTTTCCTCCTGGGCATTTGGAGAACAACACTGACCTGCTCCCCTTGAAGTAAAATGTAGCTAGGTAACCTGACTTGTCCAATGTGTGTAGAGGTATCAGTGGATAATCTCATTCTTCTTCTGTTGGGCCTAGAGACAAGCAATGTTTTGAGTTTTCTGCATCCAAGAAGGACAAGAAGCAGAGCCTCTAATAATCCTCTGTGAGCAAAATAATAAAACTATTTATTAACAAATAATAAAACTTTGTTGCTTTGATTTACTGGAATTTTGGGGTTGTCACTTCAGTGTAACCTAACCCATCCCGACTAAAAAAGGGATAGAAATCTTATATCTAAGTGTGTTCTGGAAAGTACACTGCCCTATACAGATAAACTCTAAAGGCACAGTGTTTCGGTCAGTTAGTGCAGTGATAAACAGATCAATACACTTCAGGAAATATTGAGGGCAACAGCTCATTATAGCTCAGCACAACTGATATTCATAATGATGATAATTCTGTAGCTTTACACACAAGACTAAATTATAGTTGGCAGACTCTGTTTAAGAAAAGGAATAGTGAGATATATTTTAGGAAAAAATAATCTCATAAGTGGGCAAAAGCTTCAGGGATCTGAAATATTTCTAGGTGCTGAATCACTGAAGGTAAGTGTGTACTATTAATATTAAATTGCATATAATATTCATTCTTTGTTGTACTTTTATAGGTGCCTAGGTATTGTGTTAAGTTCCTTATATCATTTAATCCTCAGAACAACTCAATGACTTATTAGAGATCACAGGAGTAGAAAGTGGCAGAATTAGGATTTGAAATGATGTCTCACTACTATTGCTATAGACCTCATGTAATCATCCATCCTTCAATTTGTTTTCACAAAATGTTTTTCAAAATACAAATGACACCTAATTTACTAGAAACTAAAACATGAGGATTACTCAGTTAAAAAATGCTTTGCCTTTAAAAACATTTATTTTCTAATTTATTAATAATAGATTTTTCAAATTTAACCCTGAGAAATTAAGTGGAATAAATTTCTCATCATTGTTTAATCAGTGACACCAAGAGGACAGTAGGTGCTAGTCTTGTCATGGTTCGGTAAACAAGTACAGGTAGATTAACCTGGTGTTTTTCTGTTTCCATGATGGAATCTCCAAAATTTTTGTTCAATACAGAATATACATTGAAGTGGGAAACTGAGGCAGAGAGCATCCAAGATAAGGGGCAAAGTGTGTGGCAGTTGGTGGCATAACAATCAAAGAAGAAGAGTTTCTATGTGATAGGGCAGAAATTATGGATTGGAGTGACTTTAAGAAGCCTGGGGGTGGGGGGTCTGGGTTTGTGGCTCAGTGGTCAAGCGCTTGCCTAGCATGTGTGAGGCCCTGGATTGGATTCTCAGCCCTGCATATAAATAAATAAAATAAAGGTCCATTGACATCAACAAAAATAAATAAAGAAAGAAAAAAGCCAGAAGAGAAAATTTTTACTTTTTCCCAACCATGAGACAAGGACTATGAGCACCTTCTTGGGGCCAAGAAGGAGGAAGTATCACAAAGAGCCTTAAGAAACTGTGTCAGCATGTGCAATCAACTCCTAGATTCCTGCTACAACTTTTCCAGAGGTGATCTTGGTCTACTGAGTAAGAAGAGTTGCACAGAAAATAAGTTGTGCTCTCTGAGAATAGCCTGAAGTTTCTGTTCTGATTTGCCACGGCACTGGATTTACCAGGGAAGCTCACTGCACTACAATCACCACTGGAAATTTTCCTTTTTCCTTCCTTCCTCCCTCCCTCCTGTTTTATTCCCTTCCCCACTTCTCCCCTTCACTTCTTTGGTCCCTTCCTTTCCTCTCCCATTTCTTTTTTTTTTTTTTTTTTAATATCTTTAGTTGTAAATGGCCACAACACTTTTATTTTATTAATTAATTAATTTTTTATATATATATTTTTTAGTTTTTAGATGGACACATATTTTTATTTTATTTTTGTGTGGTGCTGAGAATCGAACCCAGTGCCTCACGCATGCTAGGCGAGCGCGCTACCACTTGAGCCACATCCCCAGACTCCTCTCCCATTTCATGCCACAACTTATTATTATTTTTCTTTAGGGTTTTGTACTCATTTAACATGTGTTTCAAGCACTTTTATCCTCTATAAGTATATTAATATACAAAATATAATATAAGTATATTAATATACAAAATACAACAGGATTTGTATGCTTTTCTTTGTAAGCTTTTTAAAGATATTCTATATCTACACCAGTAAACCCAAGCTTCTCTAAAATCCATCAATGAAGTTATATGCCTAGCTTATAAACACGTTTTCAGATAGAAATGAAGGACCTGAAAGAACTAGATTATTTGACAGTGCTTTCAAGGCTTTGCATCAAATTAGAAACAGACAAATATATAGTAACTGTGCTTTTAGTGACATTTTCACCTCACCCCAAATTAAAATATTTCAGAAAACAATTTTTATAATTATGAGATATATTAATAACTGAAATTAAGGAAAATAATTGTAAATTTCATCTACTGAACTCTGTGGGATTGTTCATTACAATTTCTCTGTTATCATCACATTAGATTTGGACCAAACACAGATTGCTAGGGAATGGGAACTGGCAATCTAGATAATTTGTCCAGTGAAAGCACTATTAATGATAACATAGACAGTTGTTAGGAATACCACATTTGAGTTATTTAAATCTCAGTTCTCACTTTAAACATGACAAGCCTACCTTTTTATTGATGTACTTTGGAATTAGTCCTGAAGTTTCAAGATCATGCTTGTCCCCAGTTCTTTTGTCAACATAAATTGGCTTAGGCTTTTTAGCCACTCCCATGATTACATCGGCTGCATTTGTATTTATAAAATTTTTTCCACTCTGTATTCCCATAACTGGATGATCAGTCCTCAGTGGCACAGCAGGCTTCCTGGGCTGATTCCAATCAAATTTTGTTTCTGTTAAATATAGCATTTCCTTATTAATATTAAGTATCAACATTGCTACTCAATACTATTTATAATATCCAGATATTGGGATTCTATTAATAATAAATTTAAATACCTATAGTAAAAAGTTCTTACTATCCCCATACTTATTGAGTTGGGTACATTAATTATGTAGGGCTTTTTATATGTCAATCATACCTCAATAAAATAGTTAAAAATATAAGGAATCAAAATACAAAAATATTAAGTGCAACATAATCGAATAATATGTTGAAAAAGAGTATAAAAATCTTAGGGAGAAGGATAAGCATCCTAAATTATATGCTAGCTCACTAATACACTTTTACTGTCTATTATGAGATATATTTTTATAAAGACTACAATAATAAATGGTCAGCTCTGTTTAAAATACTTATATAAGAACACTAAAAACTTCTGAGGACTATCAATATTACCAGTAATTGTTTCTTCAGAGGAAAATTACTGTAAAATCATCAAATAAATAAATTGAGCTTGATATATTGAAAGCCTAAGAATCTATGGATTTTTTTCACTGAAATTATTTATTATTATTATTATTATTATTATTATGTATAAAAATCTTGGAATAGCCATATAGTCAAAACACAGCTTAACAAATAAAATATCACCAATGTAGTTGAAATTTCATATCCATTCTTACCTGACTGCCTCTCATTTCCTAAAGTAACTGCTTTCCAGAATGTATTTTATTTCTCTCTACAACATGCTGTTCATTAAACACAGATGAAATTCATTATTTTTACACAATCTCTTCAGCTCAGCTATTCCAACCAATCTTTTTTTTGTCCTGGGGATCAAACCTAGGGCCTTGTGCCTGCAAGACAAGCACTCCACCAACTGAGCTATATCCCCAGCCCACAACCAATCTATTTTGATATAGTCATAACAACATGGTTTGCCAAAATGTAAATAATCATAATTTATTTCCAAGAACTGAACGCAACAACTATCTTTGCAAGGTATTACTTCAATCTTAAGTTCATCACAATTTCTAGGGACTTTGACTTTATGCATTTCTACATTGTTTGTTTATGGGTTTAAATAACTTCTATTATCAGAAAAACAATACTTATTGTTAAAAGTCATGGACTGGGTTTAGACCCAGGAGAGGGATAGCTGGGTCAAATGGTGGTTCCATTCCCAATTTTCCAAGAAATCTCCATACTCCTTTCCATAACACAGCCACATCAATGTTAATAGCAGCACAATTCACAACAGCTAAACTGTGGAACCAACCTAGATGCCCTTCAATAGATGAATGGATTAAAAAATGTGGCATATATACAAAATGGAATATTACTCAGCAATAAAAGAGACAAAAATCATGGCATTTGCAGGTAAATGGATGGAGTTAGAGAAGATAATGCTAAGTGAAGTTATCCAATCCCAAAAAACCAAATGCTGAATGTTTTCTTTGATATAAGGAGGCTGATTCATAGTGGAATAGAGAGCAGGAGCATGGGAGGAACAGATGAACTCTAGATAGGGCAGAGGGGTAGGAGGGGAAGGGCGGGGGCATGGGGTTATTAATGATGGTGGAATGTGATGATCATTATTATCCAAAGTACAGGTATGAAGACATGAATCGGTGTGAATATACTATGTATACAACCAGAGATATGAAAAACTGTGCTCTATATGTGTAATAAGAATTGTAATGCATTCTGCTGTCAAATATAAATAAATAAATAAGTCATGGACTGGATTAATCTTGTTAGGAGCCAAATTGAATTCTTAATCCCCAGCACCTCAATGTGTGTGTCTTTGGGATTAAGGTCCTAGAAGAGTTAAATTAAAATGAAGGACTACAGTGGCCCTTAATCTGAGTGGTGTCCTTATAAAAAGAAATTTGGACAGACATACATAGAGGGAAGACCATGTAAAGACACAGAAAAGAAAACCATCTATCTATAAGCCAAGGAGAAATGCCTTAGAAGAAACCAATCCTGTTGACATCCCAGTGATGGACTTTTCTTACTTCCAGAACTGCTGTCTCTCACTGGACAGTTTTGGACAGTTTTAAAGCTCCTACAACACCCTGATTATGAGTGTGTATGCATGGCGCTTGGGAATGAACCCAGGGCCTCACACATGCTGAATATGGACACTATCATGAGTTACATCTTCAGCTTTAACCCTGAATTTCTTAGTTATTCTTCAGGCTAGTTAAAATTTGCATTTGCTTTTGCCTTACAATATTTATGAGAGAAGAGATGGATTTCAGGAAGAAGCTTTATTTTGTCTATAAGAAGACTTATTTTTTCATTTATTTGATACATAGGATTCATGTAGTTTGGTAGTTGTATTATGTAATATGCTTAGCCCTAGGGAGGATACATGAGGACCCAAGGGATATTGCCGGTCTCAAGGCATTGAAAATATTGAGTTCTATTTTAAGATTTTCCAGTATTCTCAAAAGGTGTTGTTGGTCACAAAATACCAAGACTCCACTAGAAGAAAATAGAAAAGAGACTTTGGAAGTCATGAATTAAGCATGAAGTTTTTATTTTCAATTTGCTTTTTCCATATTTCCTGATCATTACTTTACCCTTTGTCATAGGGTATGGTTTATTTAAGAGGATTATAGGACATAAAACACTGCCACAGTGTGATGTACTTTCACTTGTGCCAAAATGTACACCCCAAGTTGGGCTTGAGCTGTTGCACTATTTCCTCAATGCCAGCAGACATAAAAAGGCCAACATTTTAAAGAGAAAGACTCATTTGGCTCTTTTCTTTCCTGCCCTAAGACATCAAGCAAGACATACCTAGGATGGGAAGAAGGGATTTCATGGAAACTTTGACACATATCCACTTCCCTACACTCTCATGTTCCTAATAGCCTTCTTTCCTGATATCAATATACTCTATGAATTGACTCAACTACATAATTTTTGAGGTCCACTATAAAACGAAAACATAGGGCTACACAATCAAAAACTATTAAGAGTTTCAATATTGCTAGAGCAGAGCATTAAATCAAATGTGGGACCTTTCTAAATGCAGGTGCTATGCAACTGCATGGGTAGCACATTCATGAAGCTGGCACTCATTCATGAAGCCTTTTCCACACTTCATGGGTGTGCTTTGTGGTCATAGATTCTGAGAAAGTGAAAGCCTATACTCAAAAGTGAGCCTGGTATTGCTTTAACAACTAGTAGTAACTGCAATTTTCATCTCTTCAAAAAAAGATCAGAGAAAGAGCTTGGGGTGTAGCTTGGTGGTAGAGCACTTGCCTAGTATATACAAAGACCTGAGTTGGATTTCCACACCAAGAAAAAAAATTTCAACAAAGTTTAAATGCTTGAGAGATCTTGCTCATTAATCAGAAACTATCTGGGGTTTTGGACTTCTGAAAATAATTGTTGTTTTTAATTGAAGCCACATAAGTAGGAATTGAAATGAGGAAGCACTTGATGCTAGGAGTGGGGCTTTACTGGACAAACCAAGATGTAGTTCAAGATGCTTGCCCCATCAGCAGTCCATTTTGGGGGCAACTTATCCCTTCCCACTCTCTTTTTCTACTATATTCTCTACTTCTACTTTCCTCTAGCCACCCAAGTTGGGCTTAATATCAGGCAAAGTTGCTATTACCTATTCATATTTAATATTTATTGACAATAAAATAATTTTAGTTAAATTATCTAATATTGTGTTAATTTTTTTAGTTGTAGATGGACACAATACCTTTATTTTATTTATTTATTTTTATGTGGTGCTGAGGATCAAACCCAGTGCCTTACCTATGCAAAGCAAGTGCTCTACCCACTGAGCTATGACCCCAGCCCTAAATTAGCTAATATTTTCAATATTAAAAAGAAAGAGTGATAAAACCTACTGGGTGGTAGAGTTTTTTCTTTCGAATGTTTCTTTAGGAAATCCTTTGGAGAAGGTACTTCAACTTTAGCTGGTCCCATAGTTTTCATTGCAGTTTTAATTTTTTTCATGTCATTTTTTATAGTTGTCTTAAAAATTGATTTGTACCTGAAATTAAAATTATAAAGTCATAAAGTCATAGTGTTTATTTTTCTAGCAAAAATATTTCAAGTTTAAAAATAGGCACACATTTTTAATTTACACATGACTATATTCATATGGAGAACAATAGCAATAAAGCAACTTGATATGAACCCTGAGAATGAGGCTTGTGAAATCTAGATGGAAGCCCTGGCCTAAGAAATAGGTGCCAGGACAAAGGTATTGTATTTTCTTATTGTCTTCTGAACATCAGTACCATAGGCTGTGATGACCCCTCTGTCATTCCTAATATTAGTAATTTGTGTCTCCTCCCTTCTTCCCTCCCTTTCTTTCTCCCCAATCCTTATTAATCTTGCTAGGAATTTATTAATTTTATTGCTCTCAAAGAACCAGAATTTTATTGATTTTCACTGATGGTGATATGTTCTCCATTTTAATGATTACTGCACTGATCATTATTATTTCTTTTCTTTAGGTTAAATTTTCTTTCTTTTTTTCTGTAGTTTCTTAAGGTACAAGTTTAAGTATTAGATTTTAAACCTTTATGCTTTATCTAATATAAGTTGTTAAAGCTATAAAATTCCCTCAGCACTGCTTTAGCAACATCCATACATTTTGATTCATTATGCTTAATTGTATGTAACCCAAAATACCTTTTAAATTACATTTTTATATCTTTCAGAAGTTTGTTTAGATATGTTTGTTCAGTTTTCATATATTTGGGCTTTCCAGGTATCTCTCTAAATGATTTCTAATTTATTTCCTTAGTATCTGGAGAATATCCTTTATATAACTTCAATCCTTTCAAAATTTGTGATACTCACTTGACGACACAAAATATGGTCCAGTCTGGCAAGTGTTCTGTATATACTTGAAAAATGTGTATTATGCTAATCTTGGATAAAGTGTTTTTTAAATGACAATTAGATCAAACTGGTTGAGGATGATTTCAGGTGAGCTTCCTGTTTTCTTGTACTTACTGATTTTGTACCTTTTCTATTTCTGAAAGAGAGATGTTGACATCTCTGACTATAATTATGGATTTGGTTATCTCTTTTAACTCAAACAGCTTTTGCTTCATATATTTTGAGGCACTGTTAGTGTTGCTTTATCATCTTTAAAAACTGACCACCACTTCATCATTATACAATACACTCTTCATTCCTTTAAAATTCTGTACTCTAAAATCTACTGTCTGATACTATTATAGACATTCCAGCATTCCTTTATGATATGGTATATATTTTTTCCATCCATAGAGTTTTTACTTGTCAGTGTCTTAATTTTTAAGAGACATTTCCTAAAAATATAGAATTTTCAACATCATTCTAAATGGAGAAAAATTAAAAACGCTCCCTCTAAAAACTGGAAAAAGACACAGATGCCCTCTTTCACCACTTCTGTTCAAAACAGTCCTTGAAACTCTAGCTAGAGCAATCAGACGGATGAAAGAAAGTAAAGGGATACACATAGGAAAATAACAACACAAACTATCACTATTTGCTGACGACTTAATTCTATGTTTAGAAGATTCAAAATATTCCACCAGAAAACTTCTAGAACTAATAAATGAATTCAGCAAAGTAGCAGGATATAAAATCAATACCCACAAATTAAATGAATTTCTATACATAAGCAATGAATCCACTGCAAGAGAAATTAGGAAAACTACCCCATTCATAATAGTCTCAAAAAAACCAAAATAGTCAGGAATCAATATAACAAGAGGTGAAAGACCTCTACAATGAAAACTACAAAACACTAAAGAAAGAAATTGAAGATCTTAGAAAATGAAAAGATCTCCCATGCTCTTGGATGGGCAAAATTAATATAGTCAAAATGGCCATACTACCAAAACTGTCTTACAGATTTAATGCAATTCCTACTAAAATCCCAAAGACATTCTTCATAGAACTAGGAAAAGCAATCATGAAATTCATTTGGAAAAATAAGAAACCCAGAATAGCCAAAGCAAGCCAAAGCAAAAAGATTGAAGGATCACAATACTAGACGTTAAACTATACTTCACAGCAATAGTAACCAAAATGGCATGGTATTGGTACCAAAGTCAACATGTAGACCAATGGTACAAAATAGAAGACACAGACACAAACCCACATAAATATGGTTACCTCATACTAGATAAAGGTGCCAAAAACATACATTGGAGAAAAGATAGCCTATTCAACAAATGGTGTTGGAAAACTGGAAACCCATATGTAGCAAAATGAAATTAAATCTCTCTTATCCTGCACAAAAATCAACTCAAAGTGAATGAAAGACTTAGATACCAGAACAGAGACCCGGTGCCTAATAGGAAAAAAAAGGTAGGCTCAATTCTTCATCGTGTTGGCTTAGGACCTGACTTCGTTAACAAGACCCCTAAAGTGCAAGAAGTAAAATCAAGAATCAATAAATGGGATGGATTCAAACTAAAAAGCTTCTTCTCAGCAAAGGAAATAATCAATGATATGATGAGAGTGCCTGAAGAATGGGAAAAAAAATCTTTACCACACTCACCTCAGAACACTAATCTCCAGGATATATAAAGAACTCAAAAGACTTAACACAGACACACACAAAAAAAACCAACAAAAAATAAACCAATCAATAAATGGGCTAAGGAACACACTTCACAGAAGAAGAAATACAATTGATTAACAAACGTATGAAAAAATGTTCATCATCTCTAGCAATTAGAGAAATGCAAACCAGAACTACTTTAAGATTTCATCTCATTCCAGTCAGAATGACAATTATCAAGAATATACAAGCAATAATAAGTGTTGGCGAGGATATAGGGAAAAAGGCACACTCATACATTGCTGGTGAGACTGCAAATTGGTGCAATCATTCTGGAAAGCAACACCTTACAAAATTTGGAATGGATCCACCATTTGACCTAGCTGTCCCACTCCTTGGGGGGGTTCATACCCAAAGGACTTAAAATCAGCATACTACAGTTATGCAGCCACATCAATGTTTATAGCAGCTTAATTCACAATAACTAAACTATGGAACTAACCTAGATGCCCTTCAACAGATGAATGGATAAAGAAAATGTGGCACATATACACAATGGAATATTACTCAGCCTTAAAGAAGAATGAAATTGTGGCATTTGCAAGGAAATGGAACTAGAGAAGATCAAGATAAGGAAATAAGCCAATCCCAAAAAACCAAAAGCCAAATGTTTTCTCTGATAAGGGGATGCTGATCCATAGTGGGGTGGGGGGTAGGGAAAAACGAAGGAACTTTGATTTTTGTAGAGGGCAATGAGGGGATGGATGGGGCTGTGGAGATGGGAAGGACAGTAGAATGAGATGGACATTATTATCCTATATTGCCGCAGTCTGGCTGGGCACAAAATCACGAGCCACTCAAGCAGGAACAAAGTTTATTTTTTGAAACTGCTGCCAATGTCCGGTACCTCCCGGGAAGGTTTTTTCCACCCACGCGGCCTCCTCTTGGAACCGCAGAGAGAGTTCCTCCCCCGGAACTCCCTCCTACTGTACTTCCCCAACCAATGGGAACTCTCCAGGAGTCCTGTAGCCGGCCTAGGTGAACAGCAGGAGTCCAATATCCATATGAATGCAAATCTTAACATAATCATATCATCTCAATGGCTAGCTGGCATCACCTTTTGACCAAAAATGCCATGCATCATATACTTGGCTCTTAGCATCTCCCCCCTTCTGTTTAAGTAACAAGCAATCTGGCTAGGGACCGTGCCTGTTAGGTTTGTCCAATTTAACATATGGTTCTTACCCGTCATCGGAAAACTGACTTTTAGGCGTCAGCCTCCTGTCTTAGGTTGATACCAGTGCAATTGGATCATACCCGTCACTGACTACGGGTCCAGCATATAGCCATACTTGTGGATAGACCTATGTACCAGTGGGGGGGTGAGGTTTTTGTCTCACCTCTGTTGGCCCCCAAATTTGGCCTTGGTGCCGGTGGGGGGGTGAGGTTCTTTACCTCACCTCTGTTGGCCCCCAAAATTAGACCATCACTAGTAGAAGGGAGGAGGATACAGAAATGTTATGACACCAAGTCAATTAACGGCTCCTAGGAAAAATTGCATCACTGGTGACACATCAGCAAAGATACGCTAGCACTACCATAATTTGCTGCATCAACAAATAGATCACAAAGCATACAAGTGATACATAGTCCAGGCAAGTTATGTAAGCAGTTCAAAGCAGAGGAATCTATCAATATGTCCATATACATGTATGATTACACTACTGGAGTTACTGCACCATGTACAGCCATAGGAATGAGAAGTTCTGCTCCATTTGTGTATAATATATTAAAGTGAATTCTACTGTCATGTATAACTAACTAGAAAAAAAAAGTACACAGAATTTTTTATCCAACCAACAATCACTTATATTTGGCATATTTAGACCATTCACGTTTAATATAATTTTACAAGTATGTTTGTTGTTAAATTTTCCATGTTGCTGGATTTTCCAGCAACATATCCCATTGATTATTGCCTCTCTCTCTATTCTGCCTTGATTTTGTTTTATTTTGGTGCTTTGCAGTACATATGTTTAACATTTCATAGCCTACCTCCAAGTAATATTATGCCAGTTCATATATGCCACTTCATATATGGGGCAGGGATGTTGCTCTAGCAAGCAGGAGGCCCTGCACTTCCAAAACAAAACAAAACAAAACAAAACAACCCAAACAACAACAAAAACTTACAAAACAACATTGCATTCACTCCACTCTCACTTATGTCCTAGTATTGTCACATATTTTACTTCTCTGTCAAAAAACCTCATAATTCATTGTGATAATTTTTTAAAAATATAGCCAAATGTCTTAAAGAGATTTGAAAAAAATGTTCATATTTACTCATACATTTATCATTTCCAGTAGACTTCATTCTGTTGTGTAAATCTAAGTTGCCAAATGGTACCATTCCTTCAGCACAAGAAATTTGCTGTCCTTTTTCTCCCCTGTATGTAATGTTTCTTTTTTCTTCTCTGACT